ATGTCCGCAGCCAGTTGACGTAACGAAAGACGTCGCTCTTCAACGCCTTGTTCCGCTGCAACTGCAGCTGCTTTTGAACCGCTGTCTTCAGCGATTCCGGCTTGATCGATTTCGTCATGACTTCGACGACCATCTTGCCTTCTTGAAGGAGTACCCACTCCTGATGGTCTTGTTCCAACGAGCGCATCAGCTCGTCCAACATACGACCGACGCGGGACTCCGCGTCCAAGATCTTCGTATCGAAGCGAATCGCTCGCTGCAGACGTTGTTTCAAAACGTCCAGGTCTTGAGGGTCTTCCTCAAACGCTGACTTGAACCACGCGACCCACTCATCGTTCGTGATGGAATGGTGGTCGCGGTTGAAGTCGAAGAGCGCGATCCGGCGCTTCGAGAACGGGTCCATGCAGGCACTCACGGGTATCGCGAACGGACGCGATCCATTGCACTGCAGAGCGTTGATCTGACCCAGATACTTCTGGTACTCGCGCATAAAATCGCGTCTTTCGGCCTTGGTCGAGCCCGAAAATGTCGGCGGCTGCGGAGCGCCGGCGCGTTCCAAACTTGCGGCGCCGTACGGCCGTAACCGCCATCGCTCCCCGTGTCGGTATCGTCACGGACGTCCGACGGGTCGTTGTCGGCTGGCAACGGCACTGAAGCGCCATCTGCTTCAGTCGTTGGTGGAGCAGCAGCTGAGACAAACGCTGCGACAGCTGGTGTTCCTCGGGTTGTGGCAGGGGTGTAAAACCCACCACGTGGCGGTGCCACTCGTCGACAGCAGGTGGCTGTCGTCGTCGGGAAGATCTGAACGGGTTCTCATCGGAGTGCCGAGCGGCGCGTCCTCGCGGCTCCTCCATCCGGTCACGCGACCGCGATCGTTCGTCGGCGTTCGTTGGCGTTTCCTCGTCGTAGGAATGTTCTCGTACCATCTCCAGTGAATAGCTCAACAACGAACTAAAGATATCTTTGTTTTGTCTCCCGCTTCTTTTGGCTTTCCGCCACGGGACCTTCGTCAAGACAGCAAATATACACACTGATATTAGTGAGGTTAAACACGCCATGAGGCGCCTACTGACTACCATTCACTAAAGTACTCAGTACCTCCAGTAAGGTATCGGAACCGTTGACACGCTACACACACAGAGTGTGTGTATTTGCAATGGGTCAAACTAACGCGCGACCCAATTGCTCTGCACGCTGCAGAACGCTAACGTACCGGAAACGGCATATTTTTACCGCGACACAGCAAATCGGCCATTTTTATCGTTTTGTGACCACCCGACGGCAAAATACAGGAGCCAATCATAAACCACAAAGCATCATATATTCACCAATAAAACGCATGTATTTGACCACAGACATTTCCATACTGTACACTTTGCGGAATGGCTCTGAACAGGGGTTCGAACTTCACCACTGACGAGGACTACCAGCTTGGTCGTTCGTGGTTGAACATATCCCAAGATGAGTCTAAGCGGAGCGGGCAAAAGGCCGAACAGTTTTGGGCCCGCGTGGGGACGAACTATTGCACCTATTCGAGCCGGACTGCCATCGCACGATCCTTAGCTACCCGGTAGAGCAACATACTGGAACAATGCAACAAGTTGGTTGGGTGTTCATCATGGTTTTGTTTACCGTACGGTCTTGACCCTGGTGTTTAGCGCCGTGACTCGAGCTTATAATCTCTATGTCCTCGTCCATGAAAACCTCCATATCCGGAAGTGACAGTTATGCGGATTTATACCGTTTTACCTTTGTCGCCCACAGTTGACATTGTGTACATCTACGGTATTGTATGATAGTGCCAGACAGTTGCACAAAAATATTTTGTTTTTAAGGTGGAGAGGTACTGGAGTTAGAAAGCTCACGCATGAGTGTAACGTGATACACAGTTGTCCCACCAAAACTGAAAAACCAAAATCTGCGAATTTTGCCAATAGGACAATTCCATTGGATTCATGAAGGGACTTATACCCGGGAAACCTCCAACAACAAAAACACAACCACATCAGTTTATTACGGCTCTTCGCGTGGAATAGCCTTGTCGAACGAACGTGTGATCATCACCGATGGAATAGCTTCCCATTCTTTTAGGATTCTTTGCATCATGGCCAACCTTTTTCAGCAGATGTTGCCACCTTGGTCTCGTGCAAGCCACTCAGTACGGCACTTCGCCTTGAAAGGGCCCATGACACCCACATCTAGTGGTTGGCATGTACACGTCGAATTGGGGAACAGCTCATCCACCACACTAAACAGCTCCTCCTGGACAAACTGGCAGGTCCTAGGCGTCACGTGTGCTGACAACCAAAGGTGATCTCATATCGGAGCAACTCATGGAGTAGATGTCCCGCTCATCCATCCAGGATGGGTGGGACATCTAGTTTTCTTGCACCGCATACATGGTTCCTCGCGGATACGTTGGCAGTTCGGTCTGTTCGACCAGACCGCCCAGTTGGCCATGGACAATGTCGTATAGCGGCAATTTCCGGCCTACATCTCCCGTAAGAGCAAACCCATGACATTATGCTACCGTCAGCTCGAACACCTAGCACTGCTGTCACTCTGTTCGAGTGCTTCTGCTGTACTTCTGCGGTTTGTCCACCTTGTATGAAGCGCCGATCCGAGCCCATATGCACCGTGGAGGCATGTCATAATGTTAACCTGTTTCGTCTATGTTGATGATGTTGGCGGGGTCATAATCGGCGTATTGTGGCCAAAACGACTTGGCGTACTCGATATGCTTTGCCTGCGTCTTCTTTGGCTCGTATGGTACCCGCTGGGAGAAGTTGTCTCGGTGGGCAAAAGCTTGGCACCACCCAAGAAGACCTTTGTACGCTTGATCCTGGTCTGGCTTGCCATCGAGGTAGGCATCCAGCCATGGCTGCTGGTGTGTCGTGAGCCATGTGACTACGCTTGTAGTCGTTAATAACTTTTCAATGTCACCGACGCTATCCTTAGGTCGGCGCCAAAGCTGACGGACTCGAGTTGGCCATGTCCGTCCAGAGTCGTGTTCTGCCCCGTTTCACTGACTCCAGGTACTCGTGCTTTCGTTTGAGCCACCCTCGTATTGTTTCAATCGGAATATGCACCTTCCTATGCACCTGCCGCGCGAATTGACTGTGTTGTGCAAATACAATACTGTTTTTTTTCTTTCGGGAAGTACTGTTGTACGTTGTACAGCTTCAACAGCGGCTTGCGCCTTGGGGCCATCGGTCGTCGCGGTTGCGTCCCCTCTGGCACGGAAACACGCTTGAATTTCATGCATGTATGTCAACTGTACTACTGTGGGCGAGTTCACCCCCGAATCTCCGAAACCCCGAAACCTGTACAGTGACGGTAAACGTCAAAATGCAGTCTGATTATACCGTCGCACCATTGGGGATGCCCTTAGTGAAACAGTCCAAAAATAAAATAAATTCCACATATGCCTAGGTAGAGCTGTGAGGATTGGTGGACAAATATATGTCTGACGTCATGGGGTGCAACAAATAGAAAGTCAGGTTGGCTGCGATTGGCTGGATTCACAGTTCGCGACGCCATTGAACTCTTATTTTTCTATATCACTGGCAAATGAAACTTAAATTAGGATTTAGATTATACACAGTACATGAAATTTCGGTTGGCTCAATACTGTAACAATTATATCCAATTAGAACGAATAGCTTTCGAAATAAGTGTAGATACTTCGTGAGTTAGTGTCATTTTTCACCCATCAACACAATAACCTGCAACACCTGATACCAAATTTTGGTTACTGGATTATAGAGGAATCAAAGTTTGGACAAGATGAGGTCCTCTGCAAGTTCATTCCCTGCCAAGGAAAAATATAGATACATGACCCTTGACCATCCTTCATAATCTAACACCATGGATCTATCGCTTGAGAATTGTTTTGCCTTCGTCAAGGACGCAAGACATCGTATGGTGACACGGAAGGAACGACTTGACATGCTTCACTTAAACGCGTGGTTTCGGAGCCAGCACGTAAATGCAGCATCCAACAAGGTCGCGGAAGCTCTTGCAACCTCAACATTGTCTAGGAAGTCTGGCAAGAGTACTACGACTACAACACCGTGACAGTTGCACAGACCTCAGAGAACCCATCAACACACATCAGAAAGGTACCACGTACGAAGCATGTCGCACAACTTGTGCAAGCATTTGTGCGCGACCGATGAGCAACAAGAACCCGCACGACGGCAGTTGATGTTATGGTCTACTTAAACGAGCTGCTGGTACTCGACATCAACGTGCACGACAAACAACAGTTCGCTTCGACACTTCGAGCGGTGCAGCGCTACCTCAAAGCCCAGGGTTATAAACGCGGCCGGCGCAAGGGGTCGTCGACGTACCACCTGTCCACTGCAAACGCTGTTGCACGTGAAATCTACGTAGGGGATGCTGTCTCACATCCTCTCAAGTACCAAGCCAAACATTGTGTACACCGACGAGTCGTACATTCACCACCATTCCAAGTTCCACCACCAGAGCTTGTTTGTCGACGCAAAGGTGTGTTACTTGACGCGAGTGCATTGTATGGGATTGCAACCAACGGTGACGAGTAAAAAATGTGTTGTGGGACATGCTCTCGGCTCACATCAAAGCGAACATTCACCCGGTGATTGTTGACATGGCAGCGAGTCGTGGACATTGTGTTGTTTACACCCCCCCACCACTGGGATCTCCAGCCGATCGAGATGGTATGGACCATTGCCAAGGGTGAGGTTGGTCGATTATACACTGATATGACGTCGTTTGCTCAGGTGAAGTAACTAGTATATAATTACTCTTATGCTGATTTACTCTAATATGGTTATTAGGTGAATGAGCGTCTTGAGGGTGTATTTGTGAACTTGAAGCCACAATCTATTAAAGGATGTGTCCGCGTGGCTGAAGAGAAGCTACAAAAGCTGCATGAGCACCTGGTGCAAATTGATGCGCTCGAGTCAGATGACGAATCGTCAGCAGAAAGAGGAAATTCAAGTGACGAAGCGAGTGACTCGGAGTAGAACATTCATACCTTTGTTGGCTGAATCGACCTTGATAATACATTTATTCATTTTGGAAGTTGATTTTTCTAGTCCGAAACTTTATGTATACATACCTCATACCTAAGTTTATGAAGAAGACAAATAGTTACTCAATGGTGTCGCAAACTGTCAAACATTTGAACACATTTCAATTGCCACCCCACACACTTGCATTTCACTTTCATTTCGACAATGGAGCAACCCAAGCGACAACAGCGTTATACGAATGCAAAACGCAAGACAGCACTTGCAGAGTTCATCATGTCCAAATCTCCAACGAGTGCCAGTTCTGTCGTATGAAGAACATAGCGTACTCATGGCAGGCGCTTGAGGGAAGGAAACTAAGATCTTGATAGTGACAAGTAGTATGCTTTAAATAGACTTGACATCGATTTGGAGT